TTCCTATAATGTATAATGAGCTATTAGAAACCAGCAGGAGAAAATACTAACAATGCAATTGTGAACAGACACAATTGTGAACAGACAATTCACAGAAAAATGCCGTGGGCTAATAAATCTATGAAATAATATTTAATGTAACAAGAAAAAAGGGTGGGGAAGAATTTCAAATTAAAATACTGACAAAGCCCTGCCATGTTTCCATATCAAATTAGCACAATTTGTTTTTCTTTTAAAGATCATATTCATTGCTGTCAAGGGTGTGTAGAGGCCAGCACACTTAAACAGTGAGGGCAGAGTACAAACTGATACAGCTCTTCTGGGAAGCCTTTGGAGCCATGTATCAAGAAGACCCTTACAAATATTACTATACATTGATCCACTTCATTGAGTTTGACCCTTAAAATTGTTCATATACTTCTAGGTATTTATTCTCAGTAAAATACAGAAATACAGGAACTGATTGTAAGAATGTCAATTTCTGTATTATTCATAGTAGCAAAAAGAGAAAAATTGGTAATTACCTAAAATGCTCAACATTTAGGGAAAGTCTTAAATAAGCTATGTGAGATTCATCAAATGCAATAATTTTCAGCCATTGAAAATTATATTGAATGAATTTTTAATGACATCAGAAATGCTTGCAAAATAAAGTTAAATGAAAACAGCAGATTAAGAAGCCAATTTCAATTTTATTAATGTATAAGCATAGAAACAAACTGGGGGTAAAAAAATACCAAAAAGTTAACAGCAATTACTGCGAGGTGATTTTTTAAATTTTTCCACATTTTCTAAATTTCAAAAATGAGCATATATTTGTTTATACAAAAAGATAAATGTATATAAAATATGTATTATTTAAAAACTTGCCCCGGGCTTGTAACACTGTAAGCTGACCTCTCATACTTTACCATCACAGTTAGGCAGCAACATTTGAGCTTTGAAATTAAGAACCTTTTCCCCAAGTTAGGTAATAGTGGAGTTTCAAAATTGAAAATGATTCTACTTATCTAGTCCAGTGATTCCCAAACTTGAGTGTATGCATTTGCATAACCCGGAAGGCTTTTAAAACACAGATTGCTGGGGTTTTTATTCAGGTCTGGATGCCTGAGAATTTGCATCTCTGACAAGTTCCCAGGAGATGCTGATGTTGCTGCTCTAGGGACCACACTTTGAGAACAAATAATCTAGTCGAACTTCCCCACTTATCAATAAATCCCAGACTTCTCCACTTCTAGCAAAACCCGATTATCCCTATATATCTGAAAGCCTCTGAGGGCAGGAAACACTCTTACGAAACAGGGGATCCTAACATCTTGAAGAACTCAAAAATAGCTAAGACCTGAAAGACTGTGCAATCCTCCTCTCTCCTACCAAGGCTCACTTTAAGCAGGAATATTTTCTTGACTTTTAAAAATATCATAAAGACTAGTTGAGACCTCTACTTATCTACAGCTGAAATTAGGACAGACTGGGATACTTTCCAAATGAAGGGTCCATACTTAATGCTTATTGACCGTTTTGCTGGACATTATTTGAAATTATTTGCCCTGAGAGGGCAACGTTCAGGAAGAAGTTCCTCAGTTTATTGCTTCTCTTGAAGTAATAAAAATGTGTTGATTTACAGAAAATGCCCCCCAAAATAAAGTCAACCCCAGCACTAGTGAAATTTTAAAATTCACTCCATTTGAAAGGGGGAGTTATATGCTGCAATAGTTTTGTGAATTTTGAGCTATCACAAGAATCTACTGTCACACAAGAATCTCTCTATCATACAGCAGAGAGCTAAGAACATGGGCTGCTGCCTCTAGTGCTTGTCAGATGTAAATGTTATGAATGGTTTTTAAGAAAATCATGGAGACTTTAGTTAATTGCCCAATTACAAGAGATGTTTGGGTTCTAACTACAGAAATGTGGGTGATCTCTTTCCATCAGGGGTTGAAAAGGCTGGTTTGGCCACGTCCAGCTATCTTTTAAAATGAGAACTTTGCTATTTAACTCCATTGGGCCCTCCTAATTTGGGGGTAAGGGGGTAAGAGACTAACATCTCTTTGACTCCAAAAGAAGAAAGACTCTCTTGGGCCAGCCAAGTAGCGCGTTGGTTAAGAGCTGGCTTGGGACGCCAGAGGGCCCCAGTTCAGATCTCACACATGAGGACCAGTGACACTGCCCTCTAAAGCTAAGATGCTGAACAACAGCTCAACCTGGAGCTGGGCTGCCGTGAGTTGCCGCTGAAGGCACAGGCTGCGGCCCCTGCTGCAGTGGGTTGCCATGGGCTACCGTGTGTGGCCAGCAGCCAGCAAGAGGGGCCAGCAGGCGCCATGAGCGGCTGTCCAGAAGCTGGCGACTGATCTGCCTTGCCTGGGAAGAGCTCAATGATGGTGCCAACTTGGGCCAGTGAAGCAACGTCCTCCACAACTAGACTGAAGAACAAAAAGGATAGCAACGTATCTGTTCCCCTTCCCCCAATTCCCCAGCACTGTTCCCATACTCCAATTCCAAATAAAAATCTTTAAAAAGAAAAAAAGATAGGCTCTCTTACTTCTTGCCTTCAGTGTGTGTACATACAGTCAACTCTCAGTACTAGAATCCACAAACTACATCAAAATCTCATGTTACCCAGGATCTCCAAACTCCCACCTCATAAGACCTTTGTTAAAACTGCTGAAAAGCCAAATGAGAAGGATTTGAGTTTCACTTCCTCCTCTTTGCCTTGGAGGTGCTAACAAGCAAATAAATAGCTCAGCTAGAGGGAGAAAAAGGAGAAGCAAGGGTCTTCTGTTGTCTAAAAAAAAAAATGGGCTCCCTTAGTGGGAAATGTAGGCAGTACACCAGCAGCCACTCTCTGCCCCAAACATAGCCATGCCCACTGCCAGGAATCCACTCTCTCTTATTGGTGTGCTAATCAGTCAGTAGTTTCACAGGTTGTGCTCTGAATGGGCACTGCTCTGGCTCAGGAAATACCAAGGTAAATAAGATGAAGTTGTTCCCCTCAGGGGCTTGTGTGCTCAGTGAATGAGAGAAGGCTTACCACAAGAAAATGTGCCACAAATTGCTGTCATCAGAGAGTGCTAAATTACATGCCGCAGAGAAGTGTTGTCAGAGTCCCCAGTCTATGCCTCACTTCCATAACTTCTGGAATAAACAAAATGCCCATAATAAGGCACATAACACAAAATAGCGCTTGATATATTTTTGGTTTGCTCCCCTGGCGACTACCACAAAACAGAAAGACTGACTCCCCTTCTAGATCTCCAGGCTGGTGGAACCAACACAGGAGCCATTCTCAGCTTCCATCGCTCAGGAATTCTCCACAATGACTTTTGGTCCCACTCTTTTCTTTCCATATCTTGAGGCCTTGTAAATTTAAACCTGGCTTGCAGTAGTACCCTCTTGGTCAGACTCTTCCCCACTCCCATTTGCCTTGACAGCAACTGTTGAATAACTTCCGTCAAAGTCTTTTTTCATCATGTTATTCTCCAGCTTAAAAATACATCGTGGTTCCCCATTACCTCACATGAAATCTTTTAAAGCCCTACACCAACTGCCCCATCTGTATTCCCGATCTCATTTCTCATCCTTTGCCCCCCACTCAACCAGTTCATACATAGCCCCTCTACTCAATGCCTCCCCTTTTTCTTTTCAACAACACATTTCTTTCCCTTTCTTTCAAACTTAAAATTCTTCCTCAATTGCTTCATTCAGACTCTTCTCATCCTTATCTAACTTCTTTTTGACACCACTTGGTTTAGCCTACATTAATTCAAACTTGTTGATGGGTCTCTCCAAGAGTTCCTCTGTTGTTCTCTGTGGTCACACTATCATTTCCAATAATGTGATTAAAACCATGAGAATGAGTTAGTAGATTCTGTTGCTTTTGACATACATCTTTCTCCTTTTCCTCCAATGTAAGATAATTGTTTAACTAACTGTTACATTCCATTTTACACTTTACAATGCGCTTTCATTGACAGTCTACCATTTGACCTTCACAACAACTTTGTGAGAAAAATAGGACAAATGTTATCCTCATATTACAGTTCTGCCAGCCCTGGTTTTCCAGGTTAAGGAATTTGTCCAAAGGCTCACAGCAAAGAAGTAGACGTTCTGGGACCCAAACCCTGGTCTTTGAATCCTAAGTGCCTCTTGTTCCCACATTATCTTCCTACTCTGAACACGTTTCAAACTTGATAAATGTTGTTAATGAACTGAAAATGCAGATTATTAATATGGTGGTGTCACCAGGCCACATTAAACTAGGGATCGAGCATTTTGATGCCATGACCTGAGATAAGGTTGGGAAGAAGGACAAAAATGAGAATTCACCAGTGTCTTCTACTTGGAATGGACTTGAAGTTTACAGGAGAAAATACTCCTAAAACCTAAAATTTTAAAAAAACACCATGCTCTTAAAGGAAAGTTGGGTCTTTGGGTCTTTCCTAGAAGGCGAAGAAAAGAGGAAAGACCTAAGAGACTCACTTGAAAACTCTCCAGATGATGTTGCTTGGGTCAGAGGCCAGACAGAAGGTCAACTTTGAGCTACTGGTTGACATCTCAGCACTGCCTAAGCGGGAATGGCCAGAAACAATGGAGGCTAGGCATCGGAAGAACTGGGCCCTCGCTGTTTCTGCCCCTTTCTGTGTGACCTTAGATCTGTATCCTGCACAGGGGGTTAATGAGATGGTCCCTAAGGTCTTCTCTGGCAGTGACATTCTGAGAGTCTATGAATAGCAAAGGACACGAGACAGGTGCGACTTGATCACCACGTGGGAAGCTCACACCTGTCTCTCCCCAGTGTTTCCGCCCCTCACTTCCAGCAGTGCCAAACTCCAGGCCCAGTCAGGGTCCAGTTGCCAGTTCTGAAGCTGTTCAAGGACAGTCGTCCTTGTACATGGGGTTCCTTCCAACCCGAAGCTGGCCTTCCTCATTCTGTGACTCACTCACCCATAGGCTACTGGGATGTGCCTGCCACTAATTCATTTCTACCTCTTTGCTTTTAGATTAAAATTGTTCACAAGAACCAAGTGCCCATGATGATGGGGCCTCCCCAGAAGAGCAGCTTCTTTTCACTGAGGAGGAAGAGCCGTTCAAAAGACTAAACGGTGTGCCAAATGCCAGTTAAACCAAGAAAACAAGAAACTGCCACACACGTGCGCGCGCACGCACACACACACACACACACACACACACACACACATACACACACACACAAATACACACACACACTCTTCTCTAACCAGTGGAAGTAAAGCCACCCTTCAGGAGGAAACCTTCACCCTGCCATACATTTTATTTCAACGGTGGACACACCCCCATAGAGCCAGTGCCAATAGAACATTTTGAATGGAGTAAGGACCCACCGGGATATGGCTGGCTCATGCAGCAACCTCCACATTCCCAGAAGGCCTTGAGTGGGACTTTCTGAGACTGAAAGAGAAACCCCCCTTCCTGCCCACCAACCCTGCAAGTTTCCTTATGGACGCTTGCAAGGAGCGGGATGCAGGTTTCCTGCCTATGGCGCGATCGGATGTGGCCAAGGAAAAGAGCTCCCATTCCAAAGAACTTACACAAAGGTCCCTCTGTAAAGAGACAAATGGCCTCCGACTCTCAGAGCATAACCCTTGGCAGAGCTCGGCAAGTGCACGCTGGTTTCTGGGTTGTCCTTCGAGCGACAACTTCTCCCTGAACCTGCTGAGGAGGCAGAAAGGCTGTGGAAAGCTGTGTTTCCATTCTTGGTCTCTGCGCTGTCAGTGGGCACTTGTTATTTTCCCGAAGACTTCTCCTGGTGTCTGTGTGTTTGTTTAGAGACGGCTCCAAGAGCCCCCAGAGCTGCCTGCACAGCACACCTTAGATGTGGTATTTATTTTCTTATTTCTGTGAACACCTGGGAGGGAAAGCAGAGAAACTGGGGTTTATTTTTCAAATTGGTGTCATAATATTGTGTAAAAAGGGAAGAAAAAAAAACACCCCCAGCTTCTTTCTTTTTCAAGCCAAAGAGTGTTTCCTGTTTGAGTTCCAAGCCCTGGTGGCAGACTATTCCTGAAGGCAGAGAAGACCGGAGGAAAGGGCTGTTTGCTGAAGAGACCAGAAGACAAACCATTAGGGGGTTCCCTCCGGCCTCTTTGCACCTAGCCCTCCCAGAATATGACCTGAAGGCCCTGCAGATGGCCTTACATGTGTGTACATATATGTAGCATATATATTTATAAATATAAATATTTATTTACTGATGGACTTTTCCTGCTTGGAAAAAAAAAAGCATATGTAATATAGAAACAGAAAGTGGGAAAGAAAAAGAAGGTTCCTGCTCCTCCATTCCGCCATTTCATTGTCAAGACGCATTGCCCCATGGTAACTGAGAGATTGAAGGGAAATGAAAGTAGCTTCTTTACATAGAGAGACCAAGAGTTCCTGTTCTAGATCCTCAAAACAACCACAAAAAAAGATATGCTGGGCAGGATTTACTCTCCCATTTGTCAGATAAGGAAACTGAGTCTCAGAAAAGTGAAGAGACTTGTCCATGGTATTTCGGATAATGCTGGTTTGGGAATAGGTGCCATTAAGAAGATTTTAATAGAAAAAATAACCGGCACATCTCGGAAGTAGGGTCATTCTAGTCACTGAGAAATGGTTCCATTTGGCTCCAGGTTGCCAGGGAAGACTGAATGTGTAGCATGTGTGTGGATGGGACAAGCCCACATGAAGAACCTGAGACCTCAGAATGCTCCCCAGAGATTCTCTCTGGCCTGAACTGGTGAGAGGTCAGTCTGGGGTTGAAGGCACTGGACAGATCATCATAATAAACTCTCCACATGCCACCTCATCATGGTCATCATAGTTTCTCAGTCTGGAAACACCCCTGACTACAGGGATAACCTCAGTGGAGAGTCACAGGAGGACTGAGGCACCTCCTGCAAGGTACTGCCAACCAGTACACAGAGTGGTCTCGGCAGAGCCCAGTGGGCCTCACTCAGCTGGTGCTGGCATTACCCTCCTTTCCTGAGGGCAAGTCTCTGTAGAGCTTCACAGATAGAAACATTCTCCTTGGCACCTTGGCTCCCTCAGGCCTCCATCCCCTCTGAGATTTCTCAAGAGGAAACCTGGACCCACTTGACATCACTCCACTGAGCTTCCTTTAACCTCCTTGCACTAGGTCAAGAGCTTTGCACAAGGAAGGGAAAATTAAGATTGTGTGTACATGTTGATCCTTTCTGAAGGGAGCAATCATCTAGGACCATCTAGGACAGACATCTGTGGCCATCCTGCTCAACCTAACCATGCAGAACACTGGGCAAGCAGAAAGCCAGGCCACCCGAAGTATATCCTGAATGATTGGATCCTTGGTGATGGGACCAACAAGCTCCAGAATGACAACAGGTACTATCTTGGAAACCACTTGATTCTGAAACAAACGTAGGTTCAGGTTGGGGTCAATGATTCTAAGACATTTACAGGAGTGTGTGCATGTGTTTCAGCCCTGATCCCCCAAGATTGAGGCTGTTGAGACATGGCGCTATCAACAGGTGAAACTGATTCTCAGAGATTCTCGAGTCAGAGACTGGTCTCCTGCCTGCTCTCCTCTAGTGAATTAGACTTGGAATGTTGCTTGGGAGACTGTCCCAAGTCTTCCTTAGAGCCACAGAGTATAACAAACTTCGGTGGAATTGTACTTCCATTTTGGTAACCTCAGTAAGCCTAGGGTCATTTAATCTGACCTCGCAACTCATCCCTCAACTACTGTGACTGTGGTTCCTTACTGTAGAGTACCTCATCAGAGTGGTCCTCACAGCAACCTCTGAGGTTGGCAGAGAAGGTCTTATCATGCCAATCTTAATAATGAGGAAAACAAGGCTTACAGAGGTTTAGTAACTTCTCAAAATCACACAGACAGTCCAGGGAGAATACAGTCCTCATTCCTAATATTATTCTGATTCTGGCCATGCCACAGACATGTTCTCACCTGCCCCCCCCACGCTTCTACCCCACTAGCAATAAAAAGAAATAAAAAAACACCAGGAACTCTTTGACACATTGTGTTGTCCCTGGACCAGTAGGCCAGGTAGGAGTTGTGCCTCATTACGGCTTTGTCTTTGTGGATTTCTTCCAGTGAGTTAAGAAGGGAGATAGACTTAGTAGGATGATTATATTTCAGGTCAGAGACCAGCTTCTCTCAAGAGAGTTCTTTCCACAGATGGAAAAGATATGTTAAAATTGCCAAATAAATTAGGAAATACTTGGCAGAACCTGGAAGAGCCTCCAGACTGGCATTACATAACATGCATATACATTATACATATGCACATTATATAAGGTGACATAGTACTTAATGTACTGTATATATTATGTAAATTACATATTTGTGAGTAATCATGATAAATATAGAGGCCCACTAATCACTTTTTTTACACACACTCAGTGACAGATTAGGAAGTTACTTTGCCAGAGAGTCTTAAAACTTACTCTCTCCTGCTGCTTTGGTTCCAGCTCCTGCCAAAAATAATTACATCAACTTTTCCCGTCTCTAGCCCCCTCTCCTGCTGGCTAAAACCCTCAGTTACCTCCTGTCCCAGCTAGGCTGTACCTTCTGTGGAACACTACCACAATTGGGATCCATAAAAATAGAATCATGAGGATGAAAAGGACGTAGACTCCCAGATTCCCTAGGTCACAGACGTGCTCCTCAATGCTCCCAGGCAGGTGGGTGCCTAATGTTAATATTAAAGGAAGAGAAGAGTGAGGAGAGAAATGGAGGGAGGAAGAGGCCACCAACTCTCCGAGGAAGGGAGCTTCATAGTGTTCCTCGGCCACCAGTCCGAGGATGCAACAAAAATCAATCAGGAACTTATTTCAGACAGTATACCTGAAACCATAATTTCCTCAAATGTGTTTCACAGAATACTAGTATCCATAAAATACTTCATGAAAAGAGGGTTCTGCAGTCAAGTAATAGATCCCCTTCTGGAAGATGCACAGAGAGGCTTAACTCTAAGAACTCACAGTGAAGAACCATAGAGGCCTTTGTCTGTCAACATCTATAGATTAGAAACTGTCTTAAGCCCACCATTTCTTATTTTTGTTCTCAGTGGAGTAACCATCCTCTGCGATAATATTCCAAAAAGTGCTTTTCTAAGATAAGGAGTCTCCATTCTTAATACACTCGCTCTTGTTTCTTCTATATGATTGTTTAACTGCTTTTGTTGTTCTCATGATCCCATTGTTCTACATGTCTTCAAGCAAGAATCAAGGATCTGGACTCTTTGTCCCCTGAGTGGGGAAAAAGTAAGGGCAAAGCATGATGGCTGCCAGGGCTGTGTAGCTCCAGAGAACAGAATCAGTCTAAAGAGCACAGTTCTCAAATATGAATCGAGTTTTAGATACAACGAAAGAGCAGAATTGCATAGAATTTCACATGGGCCCATTGTTTTTAGCTTACCTTGATGTTCCACCATATTGGAGTTGCATCATCCAGTTTTCTACTACAGAGAGAAAATAAGAAAGGAAGATAGGAAAGGGAATTCCCATTTATTGCTTACTGGATGCAAGGAACTATGTAAAGCCCTTTTCATGTGCTATCCCATTTAATCCTCAGAGTAGCCCATGATATAGGCATGGTACTTATTTCATAGATAAAGGAATTAGAGCATAGAAAAGTGAAGTACCTTGTCCAAGGCCAGACAAGATAGCAATGGCAGAGCTAGGTCTTAAATGGGTCTGTCTCACATCAAAATTTATGCTTTTCTACCATATTTCAGGGTCTTTAACACTCTTATATAACTATTTCCAACCCTACTATCTGCCTGGGTAAGATGACACAGCATTGACAAGTTGATCTCCTATCTGGTCAACCTCTATAGTGCCATCTAATTATGTTTCTACTGAAGAACTTCCAGTGCTTGCTCACATTTAAACTCAACAGCCTCTGTGGACAGCTGGAACCCAAAACTTCGCCCTTGCAATCAAATTGGCAGCCATCCCTTAATCATCAATGTTTCAAATTCTAGCTGAATGGGACTCATTTCCCAAGGCCTACCTAATAGATTTTCTATTCAATTCTGTGAGTGGGAGAGCAGCAAGCAGCCTTCTCAGACTTAAATGCCATGGTCAACAGTGACTGGCCCACTCAGGGAAGGAGGGCTAGGGTTGTGGAAGAGAGCCTCCAGTAAGAAGGCTTTGCATGTGATCCTCATTAGTGATAGGCGTGGGCTGGGCCATCTGTGTTCCACAGGAGAACAGAATGGCAGGCTGCCTTTTAGATGCCAAGAGATGCTATCTAATGGGAAGAACCAGAGAGCTCAAAAAGCAGAGAGGAATTTTTCTTCATGGACATCTCTGTAGGAAACCAGGGATACAGAAAACCAAGGGTTTTTGGAAATTAGCCGCTTCACTTTCTGAGCATTCCACCTTTGCTACCAGTTAATTCTTTATATCCACAGTGCAGGATGGCAAGCAGAGCTCTGCAGCCTCACCTGCTAACTAAACTCCCTTCGAGGGAGCCCACAGTGAACCTATGTTATCCTGAAATCTGTGGATGCAATGGCAGGTGCATTATAGCAAGGTCTCAGAGTTTGCAACTAAGCCTCCAAGTCTCTCAGGGGTCAGGAAACACTGCAAATAGAAAAGACCATTTAATTGGATGCTCAATGTAGATTCTAGAGAAGTAATCAGAAAACATGGAGGACTACTCTAAATGGGTCAAATTAGGAAAATGCAATTTGGAAGCAAACAGCATAACATCTAAGCCAACATCAAGTATATAGTACCTAATGAGTAAATATTTGTTAAATGAATGAATAGCTAAAGTGGGTATCTGCCCTTTTACCCTGGAATGGATAGGGGAAGGGGTGGGGTGGGGGGTTAGTATGGATGAAAGCTTTTTAACTAACAACTCAGGAACTTGAAACCACAGGATGTAGAGGGAGCTCATGGGGGCCTTTAACTACCCAGACATCTGTTGAGTGATGGATACAGCTAAATATGGATCATCAAAGGGCTTTGTAGGTCACATGGAGGGCAGCTTCATGATTCAGAAAATATGAAATTCAACTTGGACAGAAAGACAGAAATATTTGCATTCTACTTTGTAGAGATCAGGTCAGAATTGACGAAGAATAAAAAGGCAGCACAGAAGTGGAGTTACAACACAGCAAGTGATCAGCATAATAAGATACAGATTATCTTGAGATGAAAAGAGATAGAGAACTGATTTTTTTTTTTAGCAGATTTATTTGGGTAGGAGAGATGAGCATGAACACTACAGTCCAAAAATGAAAGAAAGGACTGAGGAATCTTATTTTTAAAACAAGAGCTTAACGTTGAGTTAATGGTAAAATGGAAATGTTCAGGCATTGATGAAATTGTTATTAAATAACAACGATCATTTATTGTCCAGGCCATGGCCTATTACTTTTATGATCACTTTTAAACTTCACAAGAACCTTCTGAAGTTGGTGCTATAAGGTTCCACATTTGACAAATGAGGAAACTGAGAAACAGAGCAGCTCTTGTGGCAGCACATCCAGGATTCAAATGTACCCATATCTGCCTTCAAAGCCCATGTTCATGCCTGCAGCGTCATCACTGATTCCTCTGAGCTTCAAGCATGGTGACAGGGATTTACTGCCCCCAAACCAATCAATCCCCTGTGCACAACTGACTTCCTTCTCAAACTGAAAATCCAATCTCTCTCTTCCCTCTTCCACAGAGCCGGAGTGGGAAAGAGCATTCGTATGTCTGAGCACAGAGGCACACTGAGGAGAAGCAGCAGATCTGGGCCGCAGAAGGTCCGCATACACCTTCCCTGCCTCCCTTCTTCTTAGATCCTCTCTCCAAGGCCCCACGTTGGCCATAGCCTAGGACACTACTCAGAGAACAGACAGCCAACAATGAACACCTGGCGAAGAACTCAACCAGATCAGAGTATTCACATAATAGTAAAGGTCATATTAAAAGATACACAGAAACCATATTAAAGATCAGGAACAAGTGGAATGAGGTCAGGTACTCAAACATCAGATTTAGTAACTGATATCTACAGGTGGAATGGAGATTCGAAATGTCCTTTTAAAAATCTGTTGGGTGAATCACAATTTAGGGTAAAAAGACAACTTCTAGAAGAATGCACAAAACTGAACTTTTTCCTTTCCAAAAAAATCCTTTTTAAAATAGAATCTTACCAAGAATTGCAAGGTGAGGGATAATAAAACAGTAATTTCTTTTTACCTGAGACGGTACAAAAGGAAAGGACATTATAAACCCCACAATATAAGTGGCAATCCAAAAGAGTCCACATAATCTGCTTTTTCTGTTGAGAAACTGAACAACAGTACTTTAAAAATAATTAATGAACTTACGTTTCTTGTCTTTTTAATTTTTTTTAAAAAGAAAACTGGTACCAATTGGTTACCAGAAAATGGCATGATCTTCAAGAAAAGAAAAAAATTTCCTGGTGAATATTTCCTTTCTCCCCAACATTCTTGAGGTAAAAGAATTGAGAACTAGATCTTTTAACTTAGAAAACCATGTGTATGGAGGGTGTTAATAATAGAGGATGTCACTGAATTGCTGTTTGGGGTATGCTATCATCATACTCTGCTACCACCAGGCATTAAGGTAATGATAATAAACCTAAGAGGATTAAGCAATTTCCACCTCCCATTCCCTCCCTGTCAGCTTCCTGAAGCTCCCCACCCCCCACTCCCCTGTTAAATATACTTCCTGGAATTAGAACATCTGGGAATAATTTCTTTTTATTATGAAATTTTTCAAACATACAGAAAAGTAGAGCCATGAGTATAATAAGAACCCATAGACCTGTCACTTAGATTCAACAATTGTTATCATTTTGCCATATTTGTTTCATCTTTTTTTTCACCAAAATATTTTAACATGAATTATTAATGGCATGACATCTCACATCAAAATATTACACATCCATCAAGTATGGGGAAATTTTTTCTCAAGAGTTAAAGTTTGTATGTGTCCATGTTGCTGGAGGAAGATTTCAGAGTGTTGCCCTCATGAACTCAGTCATTTCTCAACTGACCGAGTCTAGTTGTCACAAATCACAGTTAATCAGGATATCACGCTATCATTTATAGGAGAAAGTTTTGGGTGGAACCCAAGGAAGGTTTTAGCTGTATTCAAAATGTTCCTGATTCATCTGGAAAGAGGAAAGTAAACAGCACATTAACTAAATTCTCAAAAGACACTAAATTGGGAAGTGTTATAAGCACTAATGATGTCAGAAAAAACATGCAAAGCACTTGGAGGAGTTAGAAATTTAACTGAACAATGCATGCTATTATTTTTGAGGTAAAAATTGTTGAAAGCATTAGTAGTTACAGAAAGACTGGGCACAGTATTATTTTGGACAGGTCAACTAGTAAAACATCATATCAGCAGATTTATTTAATCACATAAAAAGCCATTATTATTATTGCCCCCGTATGTGAAGAATATGAAGCTAGACTGGGGGAGGAGTAAGCTGCTGAGATGTACAGAGAGATCCTCCCCCTCCTGTGGGGCATAACTGAACTGGAAGTGTGTCAACCCCCAAGAGAACGTCTGGAAAGCCTGGTTGAGAAGCGTTGGCTCTCTTATGCAGGGTGAGATATTATTTTCAATAGACAAAGTGTAAGGGAAGTGATGGTATTATTACATTTGCTCTGTGCTTAGCTCCTGAGGTCAGGGCAGACTGACTGCAGATGTCCTAGACAAGATAGTCGGCAAGGTGGCTGGATAGTTTGCTGGCAAATGTCTGCTCACTCAGTGATTCTGCTAAACAAAAGGGAAGCAGGTAAAATGAGTGACAGCAGGTTTCAGAATATTCAGCCGGTCTCAGTCAATAAATGAAATGAGTTTCCTATTCTAGAAGAGCCTAGGTGATGGCAACAACTGGAAATCAAGACCTGATCCTGAACCAAGGCCTGATTCCCAGCCTCAGGCTGGCAGACCCAGCTGAACACCCATCCGGCTTCCCACACTTAAGGAGGAAAGGCTTTCTTAAGCATACCCCCAGTGCACATCTGCATACCTTTGACTCATTAAATACCTCCACCCACAATCTCTTCCCCCACACCATGGCACTCATAAGACCAAGCATCACCTTCTCCTTTCCTGACATTGCTGCCATGAGGAATGAAAGTCTACCTTCACTAACATGGAAATGAAAATTGTTTTCTTCATCCCGAGAGTAAAACATGTTTTCTCCCCAGAGCACCCCCTCTTTGGAAGAACACAAACTCTTCTGAGCTCCCTCCTCCAGCCTAACCCCTTGCCCCGAAGCCCAGGATCCGCTGATGGGCGTTAAAACACATGAGCTCACTAAAGCTTATGTAAGAGCTCTTGGCAGGCCTTCCTGGGAGTCGGAGGGCAGCCGGGGCTCTGCACACTCTTGTTGCCTTGTCTAGACAATGTGATTTTTCTCTTCTCTATCTCCTCGGAACAGGGAGGCCTATTTGTACTACAGTGCGTTAGTCGTTTGTAGCAGGGAGGAGGAAGAACAGTGTTCCCTCCTGTATTCCAGTGATTAAAACTGGCACAGTTCCCTAATGGGGGAAATAAGTATTCAAATGACAAAGTTCACTTGCATGTGCTGCGCCCCGTTCATGGTGACTTTGCCCCTTTTCTCTGCTCTTTTTCATGATGAGGCTTTGGAGCAATGAGAGAAATACAATGGGATCTGAGGACAGAAGCCTCCTTGATGTCTCAGAGGACTCCAGGTCAAATATCCCTTCTGAGACGTTTGTGAACAGGGTCTAGGGCAGAGAGAGATGAAATGGATGGGAATTCCCATCTTCCCCCAAAGGAAAATCAAATGACATTTATGGAAACCTGTCCAATGTTCTCACAGGCAGGTCATCTGCAGGAAATTGATCTTGTCTCCAATTGACTTGTTGAGAACTCCCATCCATTTACAGACTCCATCTTCTTGAGGGCAGAAAGAAAACTTTTGGGAACTGCACTCAGGAAACTCAAAGAGAAGTGAGGAGACAGAGGAAGCAATGGAAGGCCATGAGCCCAACCTCCACACTCAGTGGATGTTTTACATGGCTCCCGAAAGGAGTAGGGAAGATTTTAGGTCAGGATTTGGTTCTTCTCTGGCCATTGAGGAAAGGAAAGGGAGTGGGAGGCCCCATGAGGCCCTTTGCAGTGATGCTCCTTTCTTGCTGCCTCAGTGAGGCCAGGCCTGGACAGCTTCAAGGCAGTGCCAGAGAAGACTGGGGTCTCAGCCTGAGCCCATTCTCAGTCTCCTTCCTGAGTATCACAGACCACATCGAAAGGGCACTTGCTGTGTACACAGCATCAGGCTGGTAAATGTGCTATTCGCCCTCTGCTCACATTGCACTGCTTCTCTTGAAGGGCCCAATTCAACTTCCTACCCTGACACCAATTAGCAATGGCGACTTGGGCAAGTCATATTATAGCTCAGTTTTCCTACATGTAAAATGGGGCTGGAGAGGATGATTAATGCAATCATTCATTTATTCATCAATAAATATTTTGTTATTAAACAATGTCTGCTCGCCAGGCACTGCCCCCTAACCTAACATGTTTCAATGCTGGCCTCTTACTTTTTCTCCTTTACCCATCACATTCTGCTTTTCTTAACCTCCACCCACCTCCAGTGTCTGCTTCTTTCACTTTTTCTTCTTTCTTTTATTTTCATGATGTTTCTCAACTTTCTCTCCATGATTCTATTTTTAGAGTGTTCATACATAAACGCAGAGGATCAGACGACTCTTAAGGGGACATCTGCCTACTTTGTTATCTCCAGGCAAGTCTGTACTTAAAAGTCCCAGGAAAGATCAGAGGACATTGTCCAGTGCCCAATTTCAGATTGCATTCAAGTGTCTCACAACTTCTCAAGAAATTGTCCTTAATATCTTAACTTAAACCTCTGTTCAATACTACTCTGCCTTTTCTCTTTACCTTTTGAGTCACATCTCAGGCATAAAGCACCTTTATGGGTATAGAACTGTTGGGAAGTTTAACCCAAAATCACATAGTTGAGCATCCCAGATCATAAGGATGTTAGTTTCAGTGTAAAAACAACAGACTCTGGAACAAAGAAGAGACTAGAGGCCATAGCAGTTAAGAAGGTTTGGCTTTTGTAAAATCAACAAAAGCAAAACAAACAAACAAACAAAAAAAGAACTCCTACTGGAGTAAAAATTTCTGGTAGACTCGCTCAATTAACAGGAAAAGTCCATTGAGCAGGGAGTTCTGGAATCATCGACCCCTCTTGTTGGAAAGGCCCTTCTTTAGATTTCAAGTCCCACCTTGCACGCAGAGGAGGTAGCCAGCATAGCATAATGCCTGTACTCTGCTGATGGTAGTTGAATAACAAATTGTGGTCATTCAGCATTGGTTCCTGTCACCTTATACAAAACTCCTCTCCAAAGCCATTTTCCATGGCCCCTGGGTAGGGGGCAACCAGGTCTATAGTTGGACAGTGCCTGATACTCCGGATGTTTCTTTTGATCTGCACAAACCTGCCATAGTAGCTTCCAGTCTTGAGAGAGGCAATGTGTCTAGTGACTAGGTCACCTGACAAGAAGGCAGATTTCAAAGCATGCCGCATTTTCTTTCTTTCTTTTTACTCCAGATGGCAAGAGGCAGGAGACCAAACTGAAGGGAAGAGGATCCTACAGCAAGTTGCTGACCCAGCTTACAGCACAGCTGCCCTCTTCCATAGAATGAGAAGAACCTTTTGCGCCTCTCTGTACCATCATCCTCAAAGCTCGGTATAATCTCTCAGAGAAGTTGTTATTGTTAGCAAGTAATCATAATTCCAAGAGGCCACCAGCTAAGGGAGTTCTGATAGATGTTTTTATCTCTCTGCAGAAAACAAGTAAGACCCCTCTATCTTGGAAAAGTCTGGTAAATGTTCCATAGAGGCGGCTGAGGAAGGGAGCCATTCCATGCCCCGTGATGGTTTGGAGGATGAAACTCTGCCTGGGAAGCAAGAGCAACACGGGGAGTGGGCTACAGTCCTGTCTCTGCCACGTGGCCTTGGATATGTCCTTTCGCCTTCTGGGACCTCTCTTTCTCCATTTATCAAACAGGGGGCTCTAAAGACCTTCCTGCTTTAACGATCTTGCTTTCACCTGGGGTAAATGCTGCGGCCATTGGAGAGAGGGCAGGGTCCTCATTCTGGTGGGTCTTGCCCCAGCCCTGTAACCCAGGAAGGCTACTGCCAGCCCCTCAGCAGAAAATCTACCTTCCTTCCCTCTTAAGGGTTGATCATGCTCAGAAAGCAGCTGATTTGGGGGGGGGGCAACAGGAAAAAAAGACACTACAAGGAAACTCTTTGATAAGCCCTCCACCTATACACACACTCACACACATGCATATACGGACATACACGCTCCATCCCTGAAGTGTAAGCATTTTCTCTTCTGTGTATCAAACCTATTTTACCCTTTCTAATTGCCAGTGTGTTAGGAGAGAATTTGATCCCTCTAGTGGAAAAGCACTGCTTCCGCTTAGGGAACTTAACCTAACCTCGGTTTTGGGGGGTGACCCTGAGCATAAGGCGAAGCTACAGGTCCTAGCACACCTCAACTGCGGCCCATAAATGCAGGCTCCACCAGCCGAGACTGAGGCAGTAACTAGTTAGCACAGTGCCAGGGTCCAGACCCTTCCCTCCCTGCTCGCCCACCTCCACCCATAGATCCGTTGTTCTGTAACGGTGGTTGCCTGCTCGAGCCTGCCTGTCTGCCTGCATAGAGTGCCGTGGACTTGTTCTGTAATGTATTGTGTATATGTATGTCCTGACTGTGGTTTACTGCAAATAAAAATGACAGCAGATGGCTGACCCCCGACCTTTCTTTTCATGCCATTGCTTGAGAAATCCGGATTGTCTGAGCAGCCACAGAGCACTGGAGACATGCGTGCTCCTCTACACTATTCTGTAGTCTTTCTGCAGTTGCCTCCCTGCAGTTGCCAGGGAGGCTCCACTCATATGCCATGATGGGGAAGAACTGAAACTCTCTGTTGCTACTGGTATTGAAGGAGGGCGAGAGGAAGTCAAAAAAATTATATATTATATGACATCTCCCCTCTGAAGTGGTTAGCATTTTATAGGTGAGGAAACAAAGACTCAGATGGTAGTTGACTTGCTCAATAAGTAACAAATAAGTAACTCAGTTTTGTCTCTCTCATACCCCAATATTCGTGTTCTCTCCTCTAAACTACTTTTTCTACAAGTGTGGACTGCTTACATCAGAAATACCTGAGTTCCAGATGCCTGGGCTCTACTCAGACCTCCTGAATCATGATCTCTGAAAGTGGGACCCTGAAATCTAATGTTTTATCATCTGGACTGCAGATAGATCCTCGTGCTCAGGAAAGTCTGAGAACCACTGCACCCCGTGCTGCTGGAGGGCAGGCACTCTGGAGGACGGAGACAAGCCAGGGCTTTAGACCAGCTCGGAAACTGGATCCTGTAGCAGAGCTCTCTGAGACAGAAGAGACCTGAAGGGGAGCAGGTCTGGAATGAAAGAGCAGATGGGACGCAAAGCCATGGGCTTCACATCAGAGTTGGCTGGCCCCTCTCTCAGAATTTAGACCCCAGGAACAAGTCCATTATCTGGTCTCCAGGCTGAGGCTGTCCTGAGCCAAGGGTTCAAGGTCACACCTGGGTGGGGCTAGGCAAGGAGGTGTGGGCTCAACACAACAGCCCCAGAGGATGAGGCCATGGATGTTTCACAGCTGCTTGCAGCTGCTGCTGCCTTCTCAGCCCCCACCTCCTTGCCCAGCCTAGCCTGTCAGGCCAGTCCCTGGGGTTTGAAGAGCCATTGCTGTTGTCTCTCCAGCTCTTCCTGCCTCAATTGACCAACAAGGTTCCAAAAGCCCCGAACCCCCAGTCTTCTCCACATCTCTGCTGCCATCCTCAGGGCTGGGCTCTGGCTTCAGGAAACCTAACCCAGATGTTACTCACTCCTTCCCATTCCCTCCCCCTTCCACCTGGATCTGCGGAGTTCTATTTTGTGCCTCAGTCTAGGTGGAGGTTTTTGAAATGATGGTGGGGATGTTTAAGGTGGGGCACTGTGAGACAGATGCATAATTGCTACTCGGGGGCAGGCCAAAATACTGGAAATAGCTCAGCTGCCCACTCCACAGGGAGATTCGGCTATCTTGTCACCCTCCCAGCTGCAACACTAACTATACGTGAAAAATATTTCCCTCAAGAAAAAGGCTTTTTTAGAGTCAAGAAATCAAGTAAATACCTCCTATATCAAATTTGATGTAACCAAACCAGCAAAAACACTTAAATTATAAATCCAGGAAGTAGTTTATGATATAGAACTCTTTTAGTGAGAATTTTCTTGAAACTGTAGCTAACAAAAGAATTGCATCAACAAGGAGGATGATGGTCCATTCGAGAACAAAGGCCTTTAGCTGTTGTGTTTGCCTATTATTTATTTATTTATAAATATTTTATTTATTGGGGAATTGGAGGAGGGGAACAGCGCTGAGGAATCAGGGAAAGGGAAACAGACAAGTTGCTGTCCTTTTGTTCTTCAGTCTAGTTGTGGAGGACGTTGCTTCACTAGCCCATGTTGGTATTATCATTGTGCTCTTCCCAGGTGAAGCAGTCGCTCGCTGGCCTCTGGACGGCCACTCAAGGTGGCTCTTGGCAGCTCACACTGGCTGCTGGCCACTCACGCTGGCTGCCAGCCACTCACAATAGCTTATGGCAGCCCACTGCAGCAGGGGCTGCAGCCTATGCCTTCGTGGGTGACTCACAGCAGCCCAGCTCCAGGTCGAGTTATTGTTCACCATCTTAGCTGTAGAGGGCAGTGTCACTGGCCCTCATGTGGGATCCAAACCGGAACCCTGCTGCTCAGAGCTGGCATCCCATGCCAGCTCTTAACCAACGTGCCACTCAGCCGGTCCTGTGTTTGCCTTTTAAACAATAGCAAAAAACAAGCCATTTGCTGTAGCATTTACAAGACTTTCTAAAATGCATGACCGTGTTCCTGCTCCTTCCCCCACTTAACAGGTCACTGTGTGTCCTTAAAACTAACAAAACTGCCTTTGTTTTTAAATGTTCTTCCCTCCTACTTTCCATTAAACCAGACTATCAATCATTGCAGAAATGTTTCTGAATCTAAAGCCCTAAAGCTGTTCACAGAGGGAGCAGAAAGTCAAAGGCAGCAAAATGGCCATGAAGTAGATCAGAAAGAAAGATGAGAGAGATCAGAAGGAGATAACCTTGGTCTCTGAATTTGAGGGATCACAGAGAGCACTTGGCCTGACCCCTCAACCAGAGTAACACTCCCCAGTACAGCCCCTGTCCCGTGCAAAGCCACCTGCTTGAACACTTCCGTTGAGGGGCCGCCCACTCACTACCCTCCCAGGGAGCCCATGTGGGACCAGTTCTCTGAGCCTTAGATAGGCTCCCATAGCACCCAAATCTGCCTGCCATTAACTCCCATCCTTGGGCCCTGGCTTGGCCCCTAGCAACACAAAATAAATCAGCCCTCTCTCCTACAGGACACCTTTTAGATATTTGGAAACAGCCACCTCCTCCTAAGTCTGGATTATTTTTCTTTTTCCTCCAGGCATCCTACAAAACCTTAAATCATCCCTTATATATCATGACTCTCAGACCTTAACCTATTCTTGCGACTTTCTGTGGAAGAACAACAGTTTGCCAAGGTCTCTCCTAAAATGCAATTCCCAGAGCTGAATGCAGCACAGTGCCCCAGAAATGGATGGGCACGTGCAGAGCCACATCTTCGCCCTGGATACGACATTAGCTTTCTTTGGCAACCACGTCACCCTGCTAATTCATCCTGCTTCCACAGCCGACAACATCTCCTAGCCTCTAATGAATGCTAATAACTACCATGGGTATGGTGCTTCACAGATCACAAAGTCCTTTCAGAAACATGGTCTCATTTACTCCTCACAACAACCCAGTGAGGTTAATTAAAGATGAGGAAACAGGTTTTTCCAAGGCCACATGGCCAGGCCTCAAGCCCTGAGCCTGTGAGGCCAAATCCATGCTCCTCCAAACACACATACGTTGTCTTCTCATTTGAACCTCTGCTAAGGCCAAGAAAGTCTCCCTGGCTTCATTCGTTAGTGTCTATTCGAAATCTTTCTCTGACATATTAAAGGGAAGACAGTCAGAGAAAAAAGGCAGCAGAAGATGAAGTACCAAATTGGAGGAGGTGGGGGCAGGAGAGGCTTTGGGAGGAAGGAACTGGGAAGGGAGCATCTCAGAAAAAAATCGGGCAGTGTGGTGTGGCTAACACCGGGTTCCAGACCCCATCTACCTTGGCTGGTTTTGTTACCCTAGGCAAGACCCTTAACCTCTCAGAACCTCACTTCCTGAGGAAGGGGGCATCCAAGTGGGACTAGTCAATTCCCAAAACTTTTCCTGATTTTATGAATCTAATAAGTAGAAAAGACCTTATCATTAACCCCATGGTTCCTCTTCTCTTTGAATCCAATGAAGATGTACATCAGACTTCAAAGTATTTCACGTGACTTTCTTCTGCTAAAAGAAAGAAAAGCAAAAACGACTAGGGTCCATGGCAGTTAGTAACATGTATTTCATCAGCCCTGGGTTGTTTTGGGATTTTTTTGAGGTGGAGGGGGAGGATTACAACAACTACCTTTCAAGTAGTAGTAGGACCCAAAAGCTAAGGAATCCTCAAGGGGGCTGAAAAAGAGGCTCTGCAGCTGTCATATGACACCCTGTCCACATTCGCAGAAGACCAAGGGTCCCAGAACAACCGTCTCTATAGTGGCCACTTAGTAATGCAGGAAGGGAAAGAAACTATGAAGTATCTCTTGTGTGCCTTTCTGGGGCGTGGAGGGTGGGGGGTGGGGTGTCACATGATAAATATTCTTGGATCATTGCACCAAGATAGGAAATATCATCCTATGTTTTTATTCTTCTAGAATAGAGCTGTTCAGTAGAAATAAAGTTGTGAGCCACATATGTAAGTTTAAATTTTCTTGTAGCCACATAAAAAGTGTAAAAAAAAGAACAGGTGAAATTAACTTTAATCAAATAATTTAACTCAACATATTACATCATAACTCAACAAATATTATCATTTCAACATGTAATCAGTATAAATGAAATATTTATCGTGTTTTTGTACTAAGTCTTTAAAATCCAGGTGAATATTTGCCAAGGAACCAGGGAAGGGAGGAATACAAGCTCACATGCCTAGCCAGTACAGGGAAGAGCTTGGATTTGAACCTCTGTCTATCTGATGATAAAAAGCATCAA